CACCGCAGCAACGCCAAGGCCTTCAAGTCCCTGCAGCTGAGGAGGAAGGAAGGGGGAAGAGGAGAGTTCAACCCCCTAATAGGCTGACCTATGATGCGCCGGGAAAGCAGGGCAAGACAGCCCTGGCCGGAGCGGCAATGATGGTCGGAGACGACGAGGAGAGTGACTACGAGGAGTGTGCCTTCGCGTTCTTCTCTCCGGTGGAGATGCCGGGAGAACCAGCAACTCTCAAGGAGGCTTTGGAGAGTAGTGATGCTGAGGAGTGGAAGAAGGCCATGGAGAGTGAGCTGAAGAGCATCGAGGAGAATGACACGTTTGAATTGGTGGAGCTACCGGAGGGGCGTACGGCGATAACGTCCAAGTGGCTCTTCAAAATCAAGTCGGATGCCGACGGCAAGATCGAGCGCTACAAGTCTAGGCTTGTAGCCAAGGGGTACCAGCAGAAGGAGAAGGTGGACTTCAAGGAGCTGTTTGCCCCTGTGGTGAAGCCGACGACGCTGCGAACCCTATTCGCGGGAGCCGCCATCAAAGGATGGGTAGTAAAGCAAATGGACATCGTAATGGCATTCCTTAACGGCATCCTTGAGGAGGAGATTTTTATGGCGCAGCCAGAGGGGTTTGATGATGGTAGTGGCAGAGTGTGGAAGCTGAAGAAGGCCCTCTATGGGCTGAAGCAGGCCCCTAGGCAATGGTACATGAAGCTGCGCGAAGTGTTGGAGGGGATCGGCTTCACTCCCTCAACGGCCGATCACTCCTTGTTCATGCTTGGCGAGGGGGAGCAGAGGAGTTTCATGGTGGTTTATGTGGATGACATCCTCATTTTCTCACCCTCTTCTGACCTTGTGAAGGAGGTGATGCTGAAGCTTCAAGACAAGTTCAAGTGCAAGGCCCTTGGTGACGTGAGCTTCTACCTTGGGCTCCACATCGAACGAGATGTGGAGAAGCGGTGCATGCGGGTGCATCAACGAAAGTACCTGGAGGCATTGGCTGCCAACTTTGGGCAGAGTGAATGCCACGTGGCTACACCCTTTCCCTCTGGGTTCAAGTGTGTGAAGGGACCAGAGGAGGAGAGCGTTGGTGAAGAGGAGAGGCGCCGATTTCACTCGTTGGTGGGCAGCCTCATGTATGCGGCGGTAAACACCCGACCGGACGTCGCGTTTGCTACCGGGAAGCTGGCTAGGGTTGTGCAATGCCCTAATGAGGAGCAGGTAGCAGCTGGAATGAGGGTGGCCAAGTATCTTGGCCAAACACCGACCGTTGGGCTGCAATACTCGGCGGCGGCACAAAGGCGCCAAAAGGGCGCAGATGGTGTTGAACCCGGGCGTTTGTTCCTCACCGCCTACTCGGATGCTTCATATGCATCAGAACCAGAGGACATGACAAGTGTGGGAGGCTTCATATGCTGTGTTGGTGGAGGCCCAACTGCTTGGGAGAGCAAGAAGCAGGTTGACCAAGCTTTGAGCTCGGTGGAGTCCGAGTACATGGCACTCTTCCGTGCCGTACGGGAGATTGTGTGGCAGCGGCGTTTGTTGGCTGAATTGGGGGAGGAGCAGCAAGGACCTACCCCACTGTACTGTGACAGCCAGGGTGCCATTGCTCTTGCTAAGAACCCTGTGTTGCATGGACTCACGAAGCACATGAGGGTGAAGTGGCATTGGACGAGGAGCATGGTAACCGCGGGTGAAGTTGAGTTGCGCTACGTGAAGACCACGGGGCAGCCGGCTGACATGATGACCAAGAGGCTGGTGGAGCAGCAGCATTGGAAGTGTTGCAAGCTGGCTGGGATGGCTCTGAACTGAGAGAGCAACATATCCTAAGGCCAACAATCCGAGGGGGAGTTTGTTGGTGCAACCCTACGGTTTGCACTCGGCTTGTTGTCCGTGTGCGTGAATGTGTGTGTGTATGGAATGGTATGAGGGCATGGGATAATGTATATTTCATGCTTATAATTGTGTGTGAATGTTGAGTCATGATGTCGAGTGTGTGTGTCGAGTCAATAGCGAGTTATCGCTAGACGCGTGTTACGCGGTCGTTTGTGTCTCGCGCGCGGTTTCTATTTTGTCGTGCGCGGTTTCTATTTTGTCCTGTGTCGAACGTTCGGCGTGTCGCAGGTGTGTGCAACAGACCCATCAAGAACTCAAGGATGAGTTTGTGATGAAGAGCCCGAGCCTTGGTGTCAAGCCTCAAGTGATTTCGAAGCTCGCCAAAAGGGTACACCTCAAGATATTGAAGATAGTTACATTACTTTGTGTAGTGTAACATTTCACTTGGTGTAGGCCCTAGTGAAGGGTAGTTTCGAGACCCTTCGTGGTTGGGGACAGTGTGGCACTGTTCCACATCACTTTACCTCGGCTCTTGGGGTTTGTAGGAGCTGGGAGTCATTCCCAACTCGTAACTCTTCCTATCTTGTGTTCTAAGACTATAGTGGCTGCCATAGTACCGTTCGTTCAAACCGACGCTGTGTCGTCAATTCTTTATCAAATCGTGCAATCTAAATTGATAATTGTAGACGACGTAAAGACGCTCCAGATCCAATTTGAATCAAGTCATTTGCAGCTGTGAGCAGAACGCTATCAACGTTTGAAGCCGCTGTGCAGAAATCCGTCTGTGCTCTCTATCTTTCGTTTTAGGCACATTCAAGCCTATTGTGACTATAACACAAAGAAGGGAGTGCGAGGAGTGCCACGAGCAGCACCTACAGCGACTATGCTAGTCTTGACTGCAAGGAGGTGCTTCTCGAGCAGGTCGACAGTGAGGTCCGTGGGGTCCATGGCTAGAAAGAGGTCCCTGACTACGCTAAGATTGTCAAGGAGGCGGGTGACTATGAAGTAGAAAGCGATGTACATGGGGGGAGGGTTCTTGTCTAAAAACTTGGTGGGAAGCGCGGCGCGGTAGCGAGTTTCACTAGTGCGAAGGTGGGTGACTAGGTCGTCGACTGTGGCAAAGGCGGACAGCTCGGGAAAAAGGTAAGGCAGTATAAAGCGGCCGAGAGCAGCAGTGGAAGGGGAGGAGTAACGAGTGACTACAGCATCATACAGGGATTTAGCAGTCTTGTGCTAGCCAAAGTGATTGCATTCGACTAACGGTAGGTGGTTGCGAACGGCTAGGCAAAAAGATGAAGCGTATGCGGGACCGTCTGTTGTTAGCATCTCCTGTGTGGTCCGCGCCTACTTAGCCATGAAGCTGTAGGGTAGTTGTTAGGTTGGCCGTGTAGGTGAGCCCGGCATTAGGGGTAGCGATGAAATATTGAAGTGCTCAGCGTAGGTCCAGTAGATTCTCCTCTTCAGGTCGGTGCAGGTACTGTGTGAGCTGGCTTGCGACGTAAGAGAGATCTGGCCGGCACGTGACGGCGGTGAATAGCAAGAGGAGGTGGCTGAAGATGCATCAGTCACACTACATCTCTGGTGTCATGGAGCGCTATGGTGTGACTGGAGGTCGCACTGTGATGACACCGATCCCTGAGTGTCATGAATGCATGTGTGATTGTATGCATGAGAGTTTGCATGTGTGTGAGTGTGTGTGCATGCAGTCCGTTAGTCTGAGGGGGAGTTTGTTGGATGCACGTCATCCTGAGTGCATGTCATCCTAACATCCTGCCGAGTGCTCGTGTTATTCATGCGTCCATTGTTTGCATGAGCATATGTTATTGTGCATGGCTGTTGGATATTATCATCTCTGTGTTTTTCTCCAAGTTTAAATGCTTGATCATGCAGGAGAAATCCAGAGCTTTCCAACGATGCCAAGATCGCCCAAGTTACATGATTTCCAAGACTTGGATTTCTTAATACCTTTTGGGGTTATATCTAATCTGGGTGATTACTTGGACGTGACTATAAATGGATCTTTGGTTGGGTGGTGAGGAAGGCAATTTTGACTTTTGGATTGGGGTGGCTAGAAGTTTCTAGCATGGGTTGCAAATGTTGCAAAACCTAGGCAAAATTCAGCTACCGTATAGTTCCGGCTAGAAGACCCGGGGGACTCTCTACAAATGCTGGAAATTGTGCTTGGGTGGACATTATGGCGGCAGCAAATTTTTAAGACCCGGGGTAACCTATTTGTCAATTATCAATCTGATATTTAGGGTGTACGAGTCTATTTGGGCTGGGAGGGTCTTATATTCGTAACGAATTCGCGCAAATTTCGCGCGTGCGGCGCGTCAGATCCGTGTCAGAATTCGAGTCTGACACAAATGAAGTGTCAGAATTCTAGTCTGACACAAAAAACGTGTCAGAATTCGAATTTACACTATTAAAAGCTGACGCACAATAGCAATTATAACTACTGTATACATAAAAGGGGGGTCTTATGATGATTAGAGGCCAAGGGGGGGTCCTCACAAATTTGGCCACAATAAGAGTCCCCCTACCCATTCAAGAGTCCCAGGGGACCTTCTTACCGGCGGGTCTTCTAGCCGGAACTATACGGTAGATTGGATTTTGCATGTGACACCTCAAGGACCTCATGATGAGGGTTGCATCCTTCCTACTAGGAAGGTTCCTACCATCCTTCCCTAGCTCTTAGAGTCCCCAACTCCAATATTCGACGCCTTCATGCTTGTATTTCCTCCACCATTCTAGTCATGCGGCTGCTGGATGTTTTCAATTGGTTCTCTCTCTCTAGAGCATCTTTTTAAGTGACGCAAGTTGGAGATGGTAGCTAAGCCTAAGGCGCACAATCCTACCGAGCGGATTTGCGTTTAGTTGAGAAATGATTTCGTCGTAAGCTCTCAAAGTGACAGATCCTGAACAACACTTGCCTCATGAGCGTGCTCATCCTGATGGGCGCCCCTAGGTCAAACATCACGCTCATCCCAAGGAGATTGACCTTCATGGACCTCGCCAAGATGGTTTCTGCCGTAATTGTCGCACGCCAACTGCTTCCACAACAGAGAAGAACGCAGACAAGGGCAAAGCATCAGCAGACAAGAAGGGAAAAGCGCCAGCTGACGAAGGCGAAACATCAACTGCAGCACAAAGACGCAGGTCAACAGCAGAAGAAAAATGGAAGGGAAAGTCAGCGACACTGAGGAGTCTCCTGAGGAAGCAGAATCATCTGAGGAGGAGGAACCAGCGGTCATCCAACCCGCGGGTATGGACACCGTTGAAGAAGCAGAGTGGCAGACCCCCCACCCATCCAGCATGAGAGATGCTGAGCTCGCTGCCGCTCTCACCATCTTCCAACCACGCAAGACTCGAACTGACCCAACTGTTCACGACTGCCTCCACCTCCTCACACGCTACACAGGACCAGGCGCCTTTGACTCAAACAACAACCCTCTGCCCCTGGATTGGGAGACATATAACGTCACTCGTCCCTGGTCTCGAAGCACCATGAACTCTGAGGAGCTCCAACGCCTCGGGGAAGAAGACAATCGTCGCCGCGCAGAAGCTGAAGCGAAGACAGCGGCGGCAGCCGCAAATGGCGGATGGGGGAATAGCACTGGTGCAAGAAGATGGGGAGGAACCACATCGACAATAAGCTGGGGAGCAGGCAGCAGCACAGAAGCAGGAGCATGGGGAATCGTGCAAACAGAGGAGGAGGAAGAACCAATTGAGGAATTCACAACTCGCCTAGAAAAGGAGGCAGCTGAAGAAGCAAGAGGACCCTATGTGTCCCCACGACCTATTGGCATCCCCCCCAACAGGAAAATCACCCTCCATTGACTCCTGGGCTTCCTCCAAATCTTCCATACCCCCTCCTGACCATGACACTATTCAGCTTTACCATCGTTATCCCAACTCCCCACTGCCTACTGAATCCATGCCCATTGGTCCCCATGACCCAAACACAGCTGGTCCCTCCACCACACATGGCCTCCCTCCACACCACGTTCCTCGTCCCAACCTTCCTGAAGGAATAGCTGACACTGATGACCCCACAACCCCTCTTGCCGACATCGCCATAGTGGAACCAGCCCAACAGCTCACTCCTCGAGACCTCATACCCACTCTTGGTCTCTCCATTTCACCACAGCCCATCCCACAGCCTCCACCCACCAAAACTCCCGAACTGCTCACCTTCTACGCTCGATCACCTGCCACCCGCGCACCTCCTAACCTCTAGCATAGGCGCCTTGGTCACCCCTCAAAGGAGGTCCTCAACAACTTCATCCGCGCTCAAGTATTCATCCCTGGAACTCTGTTCCACCCCGATGGAACCCCCGCCCCCATTGACACAACCTGCCACACCGACTGCACAATCTGCCCCACAGATGCACTGAATCACAAACCCTTCAAGCTTCTCGAGCCCAGCACAAACCGCTACCAAAAACTCCAGAAAGTCTTTAGTGACTTTCTTGTCCTCACACAGACAGGCATCAACGAGGAGGAGTACACACTTACCTTCATCGACGCTTATTCTCGCTTCGTCTGGGTGGCCAACATTTCTCACAGGAGCAAGGCGTTTTACATCTTCAAGGTCTGGCACGCCAACGCCGAGACCCAATCTAGTTGCACCCTCAAGCTCTAGCAAACTGACTGCGCAGCTGAATTCAAAAGCGGCAAGCTCGCGGCTTACATCATGGACAAGGGGATCATCCACAAGCTCTCCCTCCCCTACGCGCACCAGCAACAAGGAGTCGCTGAACGCACCAACCGCACCCTCATGACCAAGGTTCGTGCCCTGTTGCAGTAGAGCGACGTTGACGTGAAGCACTGGCCCTACGCCATGCATCACGCAGTCCATCTTCACAGTCTGCTCAGCACCACTACCAACACCAACAACCTCTCACCACATCTCAAGTTCGCCGGCGACCGAGGTGACATCTCCATCCTCCACGTTTGGGGGTGCGTGGTGCAGTGTCGACCCGCAACAGCGAACACCGGCAAGTTAGAGCGACGCGCACGCTGGGGAGTGCACCTTGGCATCAGATTCGAGCACCACGCCTGGAACATCTTGGACCACAACACTTCTCGAGTGGTCGCGGCGCGCGACGTCATCTTCTACGAAGACCTCACCATCCGCAAATTCCAGTGCGATCGCCACGCTGACAGCACCAGGGGAAAACACAACATCGGCAGCTACGAGCGCCCACCCTGAAGCTTCACCACTCCCGCCGATAAAGCAGAAGCGGCGCTCGCAGACCAAGACCCCACGGATCCGCACCCCGGCCCCCGCCCTTGGAGCGACGAGGATGAAGATGAGGATAGCGCTCCACTTGACTCCTCTCGCGACTCCCTCCTCAGTCCCACCCCATCTAGCGTCAACAATTCGGACGACGATGTGGTGGAAATCACCAGCGAGCAGCGGCACAGCCCTGGCCTCTCAGAATTACACAACCTTGGCCTTCACAGCTTCGTCTCCCGCCCACCCAAGGCAGTTGAACCCAAAACCCCGCACCAAGCCCTCACTGGCCCCTATGGCAGAGAATGGGGCGCAGCCATGGACGCCGAAGTCGCTGTCCTCGAAGCTCGCGAAACATGGATCCTCGCCAACCGCGCCGCGCTGAAGGGGAGACGCGTCCTCGCGGGCAAATGGGTCTTCCGCGTCAAAACCGCCGCCAACGGGACCCATCGAACGCTTCAAAGCCCGATGGGTTGTGCGCGGCTTCGATCAACACCACGTCATTGATTTCGACCAAACATTTGCTCCCGTCAGCCGCCACGCCTCCGTCCGCATTCTCCTCGCCATCGCCGCCGCAAACCATCTCCCACTCCGTCATATCGGCATAAAGACGGCGTTCCTCTACGTGCCAGTCGAACAACCGCATACTTACGGCGGTGACGATCGTGTTTGTCAGCTCAAGAAATCGCTCTACGGCATCAAGCAAGCGCCAAGCCTCTGGCAGCAGCATCTCCACTCAGCATTCTCCTCACGGCGTATGTAGACGACCTCCTCTATACCGGCACCAGCGCGACCTCCTCGCGAAATTCGAGAAGGACCTCAGCAACCGCGTCAAAATCACCAGCACCAATCACGTCACTCAGTTTCTTGGTCTCAACATCTCCTACGCCACTGACGCCATCCATCCTTCTTCTGCTAAGTACGCCAAAACGCTCTCTGCTAAATTCAACATCAAGCCGACGAACATCTCAACTCCATACCGCACCGAGGCCAACCCCACCAATCCCAACACCACCCCACTTAACCCAACTGGACATCACCTGTACCAGCAACACTCAGCTGCCTTCTCTTTGCTACAGTCACATGCAGGCATGACTTGGCCTACATCTCGAGCCAACTCAATCAGTACTCCAAGCTGCCTAAAGGGGAGCATATGTTGGACCTACAGCGTGCCCTGCAATACTTTATTTCCACACCGCACATTGGACTCACCTACTCCACCCTCACAACCCGCTCGTTTAGCCTTGTTGGCTACATGGATGCAGATCATGCCCCGACCCTGCAAATCGACGGTCCCGAACCAGTTTCCTCTTCCGCCTCGAGCCCACCGGCCCAATTTCCTAGAATTCCCAGAAGCAAGAAATGGTGGCACTCTCCTCCGCTGAAGACGAGTTCATTGCCGCCACGTCAGGCGTTCGCAAAGGGCTCTACGTCCAAGAGCTGCTCCAGTAGGCGAAAATTGCAACATCTGCGAGCTTCACGCTTCATTGCGACAACCAGAGCACGATAAAAATTGCGAACAAACCTGGCTTCGTCAAACGCACCAAGCACATCGCACTCCGCTATTTCTTCGTCAAAGACAAAGTTGGCAAAGGTAAATTCATATTGACTTACTGCCCCACCGGTGACATGTGTCAAACATACATTGTTAGGCTGTAGTGGGTTACTCCCTATGGGGTACAACCCTTGTTAGGGATAATACTTATACCACATTTCCTACTTACTCAAATCATTCCTGTTTTCTATTCTGACATGGTTTCAGAGACGTTCCGTTCTAGGACCACTTTTTCTAGGGGCCACTGTTCGTTCCGTCCTGCCCGTCGATCAGTTTTACCCTGCCCTGCCCGAAATATTTTCTGCCCTGTCTAGCACGCTGCCCGCGCGCTGCTTGCCCGTTGCCCAGTGCCAGCGCGTGCCCTGCTGCCTAGCGCCCGCGCGCGCCCCGCTGCCGTGCGTCCGCGCGAGCCGTGCTGCCCACAGCCAGCTCGCGCCCTGCTGCCCTGCATCCGCGCGTGACCCGCTGCCCAGCGCCCACGCGCACCCTCCTGCCCTGCGCCCGCGCGTACTTCGCTGCCCAGAGCCAGTGCGTGTCATACTGTCCTGCGTCCACACGTGCCCTGCTGCCCAGTGCCCCGCTGCCTAGCTCCCGCACGCGCCCCGCTGCCCTGCGCCCGCGCGTGCCCCGCTGCCTAGAGCCAGTGCGCGCCTCGCTGCCTTGCGTCCGCGCGTGCCCCGCCGCCCAGCGCCAGCACGCACCCCTCAGGCCAGCGCCCGTGCGAGCCCCGCTGCCCTATGCCCGCGCGCCCCTTACTGCTCAGCGCCAGCGCGCGCCCCGCTTCCCAGCGCCCGCGCGCACCCTGTTGCCCCACGCCGGTGCGCACCCTGCTGCCCAGCGCTCGCGTGCACCGTGTTGCCGAGTGCTAGCGCGCGCCCCGCTGCCCTGCTAGCTACCCGCGCACACCTGTCCTGGCCTGCCCGTGCACATCACCTAGCTGCTGCACTACAATCACCGCCAGCCCTGCCCCACGAGCGACCTATACTAGAGCACCCAATTACTGGCGCTCTTCCCTAGCTGCTCCTTTGCTACTGCTACTGGCTGCCATTGACCGACATGGCCACTACCACTGTCCTACGTCAGCGGCAGCCGAGTGTGCAGGAGTCTCTCTCGACGCAGCAGCTTCGCGAGTGGGCTATCTGGTGGGGCAGCCCCAGTGGCTGAGCTAGCCGTGCTAGAGCTGGAGGTGCTGGTGCTGGCGGTACTCGTACTCGTCAGCAGGAGACGCTCTCGTCACAGTAGCTTCACAAGAGGGCTGTCCGGTGGGGCGGTCCCGGTGGCGGAGCCTGGGGTGCTACTACTGGAGGTACCTATGAGTCTACTCCTGCTGGTAGTGCCGCTGGTAGATGCGGATATTTTGGGGGTGGACAGCAACAGCAGCAGCGTCCGCCGAAGACTCTCTCCCCGTAGTAGCTTCGTGAGTGGGCTGTCCGGTTGGTCAGCCTCCTCGGTGGCCGAGGGTTTCGGGGTACTCGTACTAAGGGTGTAGAGGCACCTGGTGGCATAGAGGCTGCTAGTCTTGGAGATTTTGACTCAGCTAGCGCAGGGTCAGAGCCTGAGGAGGCCTTGCACACTTTTACCCTAGACTTAGGCGCGTCTCGCTACTTCTTCCGCAACAGCACCAAAGTCACACCGCTCACAACTCCTGTTCCTATCACACTGGCTGACCCCTTTCGGTGGCTTGGTAGTCGCGCGTGGCGCTACTGTTCTCCCCTGTCCGGCGGCCCTTTCTGGCCTCCTCACAGGTCTTCACCTCCCCTTGTTCGCTAAGAACTTGGTGGCGACCTCTGTCTTCCAAGACCAGTAGGTCTCTATCACCCGGCCTAGAGGAGAGCTTGTGGCGATTTGTACGGACTCTCGCACTGGCAAGCACCTCACCACGTTAACTCGGAGGCCCGGGGCTGGTCTGTACACACTTACTACTGAGTCTACACTGGTGGCTGAGTTAGGTCAGGTAGCTGCGTCTTATTCTTGTCGTCTCCTCACGCACCAGAATCTCATCTGGCACCACCGTCTTGGCCATCCCTCCTTGCCACATCTGCGTGGCATGCACTCCCATCTCCTTGTGTCCGGTCTCCCCAGGTCCCTTACCCCACTTCCGAGGTCGCTTGCACCGCCATGCCTTCCCTGCGTCGAGGGGCGGCAGCGCGCCGCTCCCCACTCCTCCTCGTTTCCTCCTACCACTGCTCCTCTGCAGACCCTCCACATGGACGTGTGGGGCCCCACCCGCGTCACTGGATAGGGTGGCGAGTGCTACTTTTTGCTCGTTGTTGACGACTACACGTGCTATATCACGGTCTTCCCCTTCCAGAGCAAGGCGGAGGTCTCGCAGTGTTTTGATCCGCTGGATCCGCGCTGTCCGTCTCGAGCTTAGCGCTCGGTTCCGGCAGGACCTTCCGGTCCTGCGGCTGCACTCTGACAGAGGTGGTGAGTTTTTCTCCCGCTT